ATGTTAATTAAATTAATTTTTTTAAAATATTTTTGTATAATTAGTTTAAATAATTACAAAACCCTATTTTTTAAAGTTGTGATTTTTTTCATCATCATCGTCGTCGTCACCGCCTTTCATCTTCCTCCTTCGATTAAATCATTGTCGTTTATCCCTCCCGATGTGGACGTTGTTAACTGCCGTTTGTGCAGCCAACCCGTTAAGGTAAGATATAATAATTTTATTTTGATTCAAACATGGTTTTCGTTCAAGCCATTATTGGAGGGTGGTAGCTGATCGACTGTTGGTGCCTTCACCGACAGTGGTCGTGGTTGACAGTGTGGGACATCCCCCTCTCATTTGTTTTCCCTAAATCCATATTTCCTAAAACTTAACCCTAACCCTAATTTTAAAATTCTTCCAATAACCCAAATTCCTTAATTGGTTTCCAAAATTCCCTTCCTATAACCCCGAGTAGAATTATTCCACCTTAATTTTTACGTTGAAACTTTTTTTTTTCAATATGATTCCTAATTCCAAAATTTTAAATCATGAAGGGCGTACCGATACACTAGCAGTGTGTAGCAGTAATCGAGCAGCTATGTATCAGTACCTCTTGTGTATTGGTACCATATTTTTTGTTTTTATGAATTCCTCTTAGTGTACTGATACACTCATGTAGAGTATCGATACATTATGTTTGATTCGTTTAGTTTGGCTCTTTAGAATGCAGGTTTGATGTCATTAACCATTGTAATAATGTTTGTTTTGATTTTGTCTGTGTAGATAAAGATTTTTTTTCGAGATGTTGATAATAAAGATAAAATAAAATCAAATTACAGAGTTGGATGGTGTTAATCAGGATGAAGATGGCTATAATCAGGAAAAAGATGGATGCAACAATAAATCAGATTGTGAAACTCATACTAAAGAAGAAGAAACTAATAATACAAGTAATGATGACAATCATATAGATGATGAGAATGCAATTGAAAATTCATTGATGAACCCATATGGGATAAGATTGGAAAGGAATTAAAAGATTACGATGAGAATGATATGAATTTGTTGAAGTGGAAGACTTTATATGACTAAGATGAATTTTATCATACCTATGCAAAGGTGAAAGGTTTTGGAGTTCGAGTCAACTAGACAATGAAAAGTCGAAATGGTGGTCATATAATTACAAAGAAAATGGTGTGTCGTAAGGAGGGATATAAAAAGGGGGTGGAATAACCTTTGAAACAGAAAACGTGTCAAAAAATCGAACATCTGAGTTGGGTGTGGAGTATTTATTAGATTCAAATTGGATGAATGTTTTCAATATTGTAAAGTTGCAAAATTCCACGCTGAACATAACCATGAAATGGTTCAGCCAACACATGTTGCTTATATATGATAAGTAATTCATACAAAAATTAAAGTTTTACATACTAACTACTATCTTATATATTTAATGTTCTTCAATGCCTTATTTTCTAGGCCATTCTGAAAAATTAGTGGGTTAGACCGAATTAAGATTAAGAGCATGCTCAACTCTGGGATTAGAACAAGTAAGATGATGCAAAATTTCGTTAATGAAATTGGTTCAATTGAGAATGTTGGATTTTTACCGAAATATTTGTACAACTATCTATATAAAATCAAATGAGAGGAAGTTCAATATGGTGATGCAGAAACGGTGATGGCATATTTGTATGGAAAACAAGAATCTAATTCTTTCTTTTTTGTGAGGCACACGAGGGATGAATTCGGAAACTTGGGGAAGTTATTATGGGTCGATGGTGTATAATGCATAGACTATAAAGAATTCAAGCATGTTCTTGCATTTGATACGACTTACAAGTTGATAACTCCATAAAAAAGACTTTATTTATGGTCTTTTTACTTAAGTTATTGCTCGTCTAAAAAAAGTGTTCACAACATATTAGTTGCATTTAGCTTCATTTAGGTTATAATTGCATGTGGTGGATAAGTTTTGCTTAGGCAAAATTTATTTGGTTTGACTGATGCTGCCGAAGAGAAAGAGCTTGTGTGGATTATGTATGTGCAGGAAATTAACTAAGGAAGAACATTTCAATCGCGAAAAAGTATTTCGCAAGGGCCAGTGGAATATAGAATATAAAGACAGTGAGGAGCAGATTTATCTTGACAAGGAAAGGTTTATCTTGCAAGTCTGAAGCGGATCTGACAAATTGCTTATGTCACATGCCAGTTGTACGACTACCCTCACGTGCAAGCAAGCCCTCAAGATTCTAACAACAACCATCTGCCTTTCCTTTTTAGCCTGGACAAGAAAATAATGGGTATTTATGGAATCTTCACTTGCGCAAAACCTTAGGAGATTTCTTTCTATAAATATCCAGTCACAGCCGCCAAAAAGGGAGGCAAGGAAGCAAGAAGAGCTTCAACTGAAGCGTGAGTGAGCAACTGCAGTGTTTTACCACTTTTTTCCAACCTGACCATCCTTGGTGTCCTCCATAGCCAGGCTATTACAGAGCGGCGGTTAGGCCTCGAGAGAGGCTAGCTGCTAGAGCAGGTGCGGTGTTGATAAGAGATTTCATGACAGAGCCCCCAGTTTTGGGATTCATTTTTCCTTTGTTCTTAATTTCTTTACTTTGCTTGGGGTTGTATTAAAATGATGATGCTTTGGTTGACTTTTTGATAACACCATGAACTGCTTTACTTGGTGTTAGTCTTTGTTTTGCCGAAATAATTATTTTCTATTTTATGAATGATAAATTATGATTTTGGTCATGTCCGTTTTGTTCATTGTTTAAATATTTTGCCTTGAAACTATAAGAGCTTCAAGAGATTGTCTGGGGTCTAAATGAAACACGTCTTGACACTATAAGAGCTTCAAGAGATTGTCGTTTGTCTAGATATTGATTCTTAGATTCGAGAGAATTAAGATAGATGTACGTGAACAACGGAATGAATCCGGGATGGTGATGTTCTAACCTGCCTACCTTAGAGATAAGGAGAGGGTTTCAATCGACTAAAAGGGATACACGCTAGAGTAGAATAGACAATGATTATAGTTCACACTGAGAGGTATTGCTACAACAACAGTCTGACAAACCAAGGGTTGTAGTTAACGTTGAGTAATATTGCCAAAACAACTCAGTAATCCTGTCGGGCAGCTTAAGCATATCATAACAAATCATTCTAGACTTAGAATAATTGTTTGTTATAACAAAAGATTAGCATAAGTGCTCTGTGAAAAGTTTGAATATGTGAGGTTGTTTTGAATATATTTTAATCAACGTTTGTCTTTGCTTTGTCAATTTTAATTCGATAGTTTTGCATATTTATTTTACCTCGACAAAATTTGTCTACAACAATACTTTATAAAATTTTCTTGCTTTATTTTATTACTAATAGTTTTCTAGTTTGACAAGACTTCAAGAATTAGTTTATGACAACTAGTTCTAGTTGTGGTGAAACTTAAAAGAGCCGACCAATTCCTAAGGAAACGATAACTCACTTACCCTTTATTACTTGATTCAACTGTGTATACTTGCATAGATTTTCTTTCCTTAGCATATACATTTCTAAGTGATCAAGTTTTTGGCGTTGTTGTCGGGGATTGGCAACTGATGGAATTTTTATTTTTTGCCATAACAAATTTTTCTTGTCACCTATTACTTAGTTAGTTTAACTCGTTTAATTATTATTTTTTTCTTTTGAAGGTTTTATCATTGCATGACCCTGAGATCTGCTGGTAAACTATTAGAGCCATTCGACCCTGAAATTGAACAGTCTTTCAGACAAATGCAACTTAACCAACGAGCCAGAGAGTATATGAACCAACTAAAATTTCAAGGTAACAACAATATGGGAGTTCAGGCAGATCCTAATGTAGCAGCCAATAATTTTCAGAGAGAAGTTGCGAGACCACGAGCAATACGTGATCAATTGAACCCAAGTCTTGACGGTCTCAATCTAGGCATCGTGGCACCTGAAATACAAGCAACCCATTTTGAGCTTAAATTGGTGATGTTTAACATGCTAAACTCTATCAGTCAATTTGGTGGGTCACCTAATGAGGATGCTAGACAGCATATACATGCATTTTTCTTGAAGTGTACGATTCATTCTGAAAACAAGGAGTGCATGAAGATGTGCTGAAGCTTAAACTTTTCCCTTATTCCCTACGTGATAGAGCAAGAGCTTGGCTCAGTGGAGTTCTTTCAGGTTCAATGGAATCTTGGGCAGATTTATGTAAGATATTCTTTTTTCGAAACAATCCACCCAATATGAATACATAACTATGTAACGACATTGCAAGATTTCGCCAAGGTGATGATGAATCAATGTATGAGTGTTGAGATAGGTATAAAAGTCTACTTCGCAAGTGTGTGAACCATAAATTTCATGACTGGACTCAAGTCGTGATGTTTTATAATGGAGTTAATGCACCTACTCGAATGATGTTGGATGCCTCAGCAAATGGTATTTTACTTGACAAATCACCCGAGGAAGTCTTCGATATCCTCGACAGGATAACAAATAATGACTATCAATTCCTAACTACAAGGCTGAGAACTGGTAGAAAAATATCTGGAGCATATGAAATTGAGGGTAAGGATTCAGTAGATGCTCAACTTTCTACCATAACTAATATTTTGAAAATTTGCAGTGTCCTAATGAGGTGAGAGAAGTCAAAGCAACCAGCAATGCATGCATTTTTTTGTCACGGTAACCATCATGAGAGTGAATTTCCAGAAAACCAGGAGTCCATCATTTTGTGGGCAACTACAACTGAAGTAATAATAACCCCTACACGAATACATATAATCCTGGATGGCGACAACATCCAAATTTTTCATGGGGTAATCAAGGAACTAACAACAACAATCAGACAACAAATTATAATAGGCCACAACAGAGTAACTCAGAACATCAACATTTTTCAGAATCAGGATCATCAGATGCCCTGGCAAAACACTAAAGGTACAACTTATTCCTCTAATACCAACTCTAATTCTAACTCCTTGGAAGCTTTACTACAAGAATTCATGGCCTCAACAAAAGATTTAACGACTTCAACAAAGACTTTGATGCACGAGCACTCATCAACAATAAAAAACCAAGGTAATTTGTTGCAAACTCAAGATGCTCTTTTCCAACGCCATAGTCCATCCTGGAGAGCATTGGAGAACCAAGTGGGTCAAATCGCCATGGCATTACATTTTCGCCCACAAGAAAGTTTCCCTAGTGATACTAAAATCAATAAACATCATGGAAATGAAAAGTGCAGTGTACTTACACTAAGGAGTGGGGGACATATTAACCAGAATGACAAGTTTGGGGGAAAACAGCTGGAAGATTCTAGCCAAGGCATTACACAACCAGAGGATCGAGCTGAAGTTGTGGAATATGATAGATTGTCCAAAGAGAAAGAAAATGATGAAGGTTCAGAAAATCATCAAACATATAATGGGAAACTTATTGCCAAGGGCAGCATTTCCTCAGCACCGACAGTAAACGACGTGGGACCTCCACCACCATTTCCTCAACGATTGAAGAAACACAATGACAAAATCCAGTTCAGGAAATTTGTTGATGTTATGGATCAGTTGTATATCAATGTACCTCTACTTGAAGCCATTGAGCAGATGCCTTCCTATGCTAAGTTTCTAAAAGACATTGTCACAAAAAAGAGGAAGTTCGAAAATGTTGCAGCGACAACAGAAATATGCTCTGCAGTAAGAAAACTCCTACAAAAGCAAAAAGATCCTGGCAGTTTTGTAATACCATGCTCAATTGGTGACAACTTTGTAGGACGAGCTCTCGTTGGCTTAGGGTCAAGCGTAAATTTGATGTCAAAGTCTATATTTTTAAAATTAGAAAGGTATAACGCTTTCCCAACCACAATTATCCTACAATTAGCTAACCGGTCTTCAGTATGTTCTGAATGCAGAATAGAAGATGCTATTGTAAAGGTGGACAAATTCGTATATCCAGTTGATTTCCTACTATTAGATTGCGAAGCCGATGAAAATGCACCCATCATCCTTGGATGACCCTTTTTGGCTACTGAATGAATCTTAATAGATTGTGAGAAGAGAGAGTTCATGATGCGGGTAGGAGAGCAAAGCGTCACAATAAATTTCTTTAACTCCATGAGATATGTGGACGATTCAGAAGAATGCCAATGCACTAGAAATATGAAAACAAGGGAGGAAGATGAGATGAAAAATCTTGGCTAAGATGAATTTTTATAAATCAATGAATACAACACTTTGTGCCACAACTTGATGTCTATGACTCAGGAACACGAAAATTATGGCCCAGGAGAAAAAATTTCAGAAGAGGATTTTGATAACTATTGCCTTGGCAACAATTGTTTGAATAAAGTACTAAACGGATTACCTGCCAATGACACCAAATCAAATTATGACAGTGAATAAGAGGAATAGTCTAGTTTACTTCATGCTAGACAAGGTATGAAATTCGAACCCTTAGATTTCAATGAAGTTAGCCCCTCAAAATCATCATTACAGCATGCATGCACATTGGAACTTAAAACCTTCCATCGCATTTGAAATACGTCTACTTACGTAGTAATGAGACTTTACCGGTGATAATTTTTGCTAGTCTAACCTCCGAACATGAGAACAGTTTGTTAAATGTTTTGTCACAACACAAAAAAGCTCTCGGGTGGACCATGGAAGACTTAAAGGGAATCAACCCTACCATATGCATGCACAAGATCAACTTAGAAGATAGTCATAGCAATTCGGTGGAATCACAAAGAAGACTCAACCGATTATGAAGAAAATAGTCATGAAGAAATCATAAAATGGTTGGATGTTGGAGTAATTTATCCAATATTCAATAACTCATGGGTCAGTCCTGTGCAGTACGTGCGAAAGAAATGTGGTGTGACTGTGGTCAAAAACGAAAATGATGAGGTTCTAACTACCAGAGCAGTCACAGGCTGGCGAATATGTATGGACTATAGAAAGATCAATAAAGCCACAAAGAAATACCACTTTCCCCTTCATTTTATTGACCAAATGCTTGATAAGCTAGCATGAAAAACATTTTACTGCTTCCTTGATGGATATTCGGGATACAATCAAATAACCATAGCATCGGGGATCAAGAGAATACTACTTTTACATGTCCATATGGTACCTATGCATTTAAATGAATATCGTTTGGGTTATGTAACACTCCAACTACCTTTCAGAGATGTATGATGCCCAATCTTTTATATATGGTGGAAGATTGCATGGAAATATTTATAGATAACTTATCCGTCTCATGCGACGATTTCAACAGATGCCTAGGCAACTTATCTAAAGTGTTGAAACGATGTGAAGAAGCCAACCTAGTACTGAATTAAGAGAAATTCCATTTTATGGTAACCAAGGGAATAGTGTTGGGACACAAGATTTCTTGTCAAGGTATTGAAGTCGATAGAGACAAGGTGGAAGTAATTGAAAATCTACCTCCACTCACCAACGTGAGAGGCATACGCAGTTTCCTTGGACAAGCAGGCTTCTACAGGCGTTCATAAAAGATTTTTCTCAAATCTCAAAACCTTTGTGTATTTTGCTTCAACATAATCAACCATTTGAATTTAATGATGATTATTTAAATGCTTTTATAGATTTGAAGAAAAAACTTTCGTCAGCACCAATCGTTGTTCCACCAGACTGGAATGCACCTTTCGAGCTCATGTGCGATGCTAGTGATTATGTAGTTAGGGCAGTGCTAGGACAATAAAAATGTAAACTCTTTCATGTTATCTATTTAACATCCTCAACACCGGTTAGTGACTAAATTGTAAAACTTTAGAATTTAGTGTCTAAAGTAGATAAATTGAAAAGTTCAAGGACTTATATTGAAAATTTTATGTAGAACTAAATAGAAAAGAAGGAAAAATGGAAGGGAAAATGGTTATTTGATCAAGAAATGAATTAAAAATTGAGATGTGGTAAGGATATATACTAGTGGAGATAGGTAAAAAGGGAAAAATGAAAGATTTCTCCAAAGAACTCTCTTCTTTCTTCTTTCAGCCATGAACCTCAAGCTTGTTAAGGTGAGTTTCTTATTAGCTAGTTAATTATTGAATTTAAGTTTGGTTTATGTTCTTTGGGCAATACTTAAGCTTAAGTAAAGTTTAAGTTGTTTTAAAATCAAAAGATGAAGGAGTTAGGAATGATTAAAGATAAGAGGGTGATAAGCGAAATCTTGGAAAAGAGTTAGTAAATAAAGTTTAAGACTAGAATTGACTTGTCATCAACTTAATTAAGAAGTATGAAGTGTTAGAATTGAGATTAGAATATGTTGAAAAATTGGTAGGATTCTTGATTTAAACATATAGGAGGAAATTTGGAAGATAAGGACTTGTTATATGAATATAAATTGATTATAGTATGTGTATGTGAGTTTAAGTGTATGAAAAGGGTGAAGGAATGAAAGGTTTATATTATTATGGGTAAATTTTGGTTTAAAAGGGATTTATGGGCTGTGAGTATCGATACTGCTTCATCCAGTATTGATACTTCAAGAGTAAAAAAAGTAATATTTGGTATAGGGGTATCAATACTGGTTGAAAAGTATCGATACCATAAGCTTAAATTTGACAAGTTATTTATGAGGTATCGATACCTGAAGGGTGGTATCGATACCAAGGGTATCGATACCATAAGGAAGGTGTCGATACCATTCTTGAAACAAGGATTACAGAATTGAAGTTGGGTATCGATACCCCAACTAGGGAAGTATCAGTACCATACCTTGGGTACCGATACTATTCCAAGTGGAAAATAGAATTAAGCCTTTCTTTTAGTCTAAGAAATTAAGGATTGAATCATGATATTTGGAATGCTGATATGTATACGAAATGTATGATTGTATAGATATTGAGCTCAAGCAAGTTCTGGAACGACCGAAAAGTTAGGATATATCAAGAAAGAGAAATTAAGTCATTGAAGTGATTGGAATCAAGTGAGGCTAAGGTGAGTGCATACTGTAGGTGTAGTTCAATGGAAATAAGACTTGTGATAAGTCTATTTTCTATGTTAATTTTCATAGTCTAATAGTTAGGAACATGCATATATTATGATCACCATAAACATATGCATAAGTTATATATATATATATATATTTATATGATTTAATACATGCTATATGATTCATGTGAACATACTCAAATAACATATGTTGTATGATATAAGATTGATGGTTATATGTACATGTGATATGTGATAGAAGAGAAGACATATATGATTATAAGAGAAACGACATGAGTACATGAATATATGAAGCATAATAATAATGCCCATGTTATATGATATGAGTGCTATAGGTATAGTTGGTATGCTAAGAGTTGAGGGTTATATAGGTCCTTCGGGACATATACATAGGTCATTCGGTACATACATCAGGTCATTCAGGACAGATTTCACATGCCACTTAATAGATCCTTATACGAGCTGTAGTGACAACATATGTGCACAACCTCAAAGTACTCACATACCTTAAGTTCTCAGTAATGTGCATGGGCCTATAAAAGACATAAAAAATATTTACATGATTATATGCTATCATGTTATTATTGTTTACACTGAATCATATATGACATGATTGAATTATGATATGATAAGTATGATTTTATTTAAATAATCAGATTGCATGTTCATATTTATAGGAAATGCATTGTTATATTTTTATGCCTCACTAAGTCTATGACTTAGCGTGTAAGAATTTTACACGTAGGTACTGAGAAGCTGGAGGATCAGACATAGGTCTAGCAGAACAACATACATCCACTCGAAGATCAGATCAGAAGTAAATTCACAGTATGTATTTTGCTGTATCAAAGGTGTTAGCATATAGAAAAGTGTAATTTATATATGCTCTGATCAATTTTTGTAATATTTTGATTGTACTTATGTAAATTATTAACTTTATTTTAATTAAAGTTTGAATTTTCATGATTTTTATAAGTTTTAAAAGTTTCTATCAGTTAATATGACACCTCGGATTCGTATCCGGGTCGTGTACGGGTTGGGGGTGTTGCAATCTATTATGCTAGTCGTACTCTTAATAATGAACAAATAAACTATACCACAACTGAAAAAGAACTTCTTGCAGTAGTAGTTGCATTCGATAAGTTTAGGCCATATCTCATAGGAACTAAAGTGATTGTGTTTACAAATCACTCTTCCATTAAATATTTAATCAATAAAAAAGATGCAAAACCTAGGCTAATCAGATGGATATTATTACTACAAGAATTCAATTTAGAGGTAAATGATAGAAAGGGTACAGAAAACCAAGTAGCAGACCACTTGTCTAGACTAGAAAACAAAATTAGTTTTCATGATATGAAAGACATCCAGGAGGATTTCCCTGATGACAAAATTTTATTTGTCACGGTTGTGCCGTGGTATGCTGACATAGTCAACTTTCTTCGTAGTGGTATTATACCTCCAGATTTATCTAGCCAAGGCTGAAAAAAGTTCAGATATGATGTGCGACACTATTACTGGGATGAATCGTTCCTATTCAAGCAATGTAGCGACCAAATAATCAGAAGATGTGTCCCATAAGAAGAACACACTTTGTGTCCAAATGGGTGGAAGCCATTGCAACACCTAAGAATGATTCTAAGACCATGCTGAAAGTTTTGCACAAGAACATTATTCACGCATTTTGGAACACCGCAAGCTATTATCAGTGATGAAGGCACATACTTTGACAACAAATAATTGCCAAGGCGCTGAAAAGATATGGAGTGTGACATCGGATAGCCATGACATATCACCCCCAGACTAATGGGCGGGCCGAAGTTTCTAATTGGGAAATCAAGCAAATCCTTGAGAAAGTGGTCAACCCAAGCCAAAAATATAGGTCGCCAAAGCTAGATGAAGCACTATGGGCCTGTTGCACAACATTCAAGACACTTCTAGGAATGTCCCCATTATACTAGTCTACGGTAAGGAGTGCCATCTCCATGTGGAACTTGAACATAAAGCATATTGGGCCATCAAGAAATTGAACATGG